AATTTTAAAGCAATTTGGAAGCCTACCATGCCTCAATCATTATAATAAAATAAATTCTAAATACATACATATTTTGGCATTTGATTTTGTTTTTTTCATCATAGAAAATCAGAGCTCCTCCTGCTCCCATTGCTCACCAGGATGTGGGTCCAGCTCCAGCTGTCCCCCTCTTTGCTTTGTGGCAGTGAGCAGCCCTGATATGCTGGTTCCCTCATGGGGGTCACAGCCGAAGCAGAGCTGAGTAGAGCCTGGGGGCGGGAGGGGGTGGAGAATGGAGGCTTGGAGCTCCCTGACCTGCTGTCCTTCCACTTGGAGCTTTGGCAGAGAGGCTCAGTGCTACCACTAATGACACCACCATTGCTGGTAGCCCTGTCATCATGATGAGGTGCCCTGTGCCCACCTGCAAGCAGCAGGGGCAGCAGCAGTGTCGCATTATGCCCCCCCAGCTGCTGTCAGGTGGGCAAGAGGCACCTTGGCATGGCAGCATGGCTGGTGTGGGGGTTCTGGTGGCAGCAGCCACAGTACCACACCTCCCTACCTTGCTCCACTGTCCCATTCTGGGCTATGGAGGCCCCTGGGGGGAGGGCAACAGGGCAGGGAGTACATCAAGTACTATTATTTTATTTAAATTAAATTGCCATCCTTATTTTTTCTCCCGGGGGGTACATCAAGCCTGAGATGTAGAATGGAGGGCTGGGATACAGCAGGAGATAGTGGTTCCAGAGTCCCAACAACAAAGTTGGTTGGCAAATAAGGGGAAATATGCTGTACCCCTTGTAGTTGTGTAATAGTTTGTGTATTCCCACATATACCCAGGGACCCTGGAAGTCATCTTGCCTCTTTGATGTATAATAACTCTTAAAAGCCTCTGAAAAGGTATCATGGGAGCATCTAGGATTTCCTAAAGGGGGATGCAGCACACTGCCCCTCAGACCATGGGGGAAATGTGGACATATGGCTGGAGCCCCCAGGTCAGCACAGGACACCAGGGAGCTGAGCAGGTACACAAAGGTAAGGGAGCCACACTTCTCCAATTCCACTGCTGCTGTCCCTGGCTGACCTGGAGGTGGGAGGGTGCAGGGCTCAGCTGCTTCTGACTTACTCTTGTCCATGCCGCAGAGAACAACTGTGCAGGGAGCAAGGCTCCAATAGGGACAGCAGCAGCGGCATATAGATCCTCCTTTCAGCACAGGCTCCCCGGCTGTCGTCCCCCACTCCCCCCAGTGTCTGTCCGTTGGCTGGAAGCAGGTGCTAGGGGAGGAACCTGCATGCCATTACCACTGTCCCTGGCTGAGCCTGCTCCCTGTGCACCCAACTCCCTGCAGCACAGGTGAGAGAAGATGTGGGGATCCCCTGGCGCCTGCATCAGCCAGGGTGACAGTGGCAGTGCACAAGTTCCTTCTTCCAGTGCCTGCTCCCAGCCAGAGCCTGAGGCTGGAGCAAGGCATGAATGGTTCTGGGGTTCTCTCTGTGCCCAGATCAACCTGAGTGGCAGAAGGGGGAAGGGATCCCCCAGGACCCACCTCTGCAAGATACAGCTTTCTACTGCTCTCACTGCAATGCTGTAGCTAAATGGCACATGTTAGCCCATAAAACTTAAAGATCTAATCCTGAAGTAACTTATATTGGTGAAAGTCACTAGTAACTCAAATATGTCAATGGTGTTGTAAGGCAGAAGACTCAGATTGGAACACATCTAACCAATACAAGGGTGTGCTTGCTTACTTGCTTCTCTCTCTCTCATCCTCCCCTCCACTCCCCCCACCATTTCAGGACATACATAGCAACAGCAATTAGAGAACTTCTGTTCCCTGAAATTAATTTTTTCAGTGCAAATACGCTTGAATCAACCATCATGTCTATGCAGATTATTTGTTTGTACAGGTGCTTAAACTACTATTCACAAAGGATAAAGCAGATTACAATAGTCAAAGAAATGACCCAAAAATTATTTCCTGGAGTTGGATCAATTTTTCTCTCATCAGCATTCAACCCCAGTGCTACAGCAAGAATAAAAAAAGGCAAACACAAAACAGATGAACTAAATAGTGAGCAGTGAAGAGGAAACATGTTACTTCTTAATTTGGACAGAGGACAAAGTCATGGATTGCAGCTTTTTGCTTATGAAAGCACCCTCCCCACCAATGATCTGTATTTGCACTTGACAGAAATATGGAAATGTTTTTAACACATTTGACGTTAGTCTGTAATGGTGCAGGAAGTGATAAATGGACACATTCACAGAGTGAACAGAGAACATGTATCCGCAGACAAATGACACATTTTAGTGCAAATACCATCCTGCTTCTGACAAATTGCTAGAATATTTTTGTTTACTTTCCAACATATTCAAATGAACCCTGTACCCAACTACAATCAGTAAGCTATTCTGCAAAACCCATCTTATTTTTACAAAAGTTGCTCATTTTTGCCTTCCAGTTAATTTATCAGTGATAATGGTGAGACAGAAGAAGAAACAAAGGGAAGGTTTTCAGTGCTATCATAGATAAAGTTTGACTGTTACATTTATTCTGTTTTGGGAGATCACTACTAACTTTTTGATCTACATTTTTCCAACACAATAATTTTAGATACTGCTATTTTCATTTTTCTCCCCACTTTTTTAAACTCTCTCTTTCCAATTTGGAAGAGAGATTAAAATAATTACATCTCAATATTTTTGTCTTTCACATCTCTCTACTTCTGTCACAAGATAGAAAATATTACTACTTCAGCTTTTTGTCTCATACACTAACCTCTGAGTTCTGGTGACAGTTATTTTAGCCGTCTTGTACATATTATACATAGACCACAAAGGAAACATTTTTAAACGTGCCCAAGTCCCTTTGAAAATCAATTGGGCCATCAATTCTAAGTCATTTTGGAGCTTTTAAAAGTTTTACCTAAGTCCATGGCATTAGACAAAAACAAAGTAACCTGCTAAAAAAATAACGTGTTAATAATAGTAGAGAACATGTAAAAGACAACATTATCCAGGATGACTCCCACATTTTGAATTTGAAATTTTATTAATTAGCTATAATGCAATATACAAGAAACCAGGCATTTGTGAATTTATTTTAAATTTTTTGAAGTCATGTTTCCTTAACCATGCATTTGACCTGTTTTGATAGCTGATCTCCAGATCAATGTTACACTTAAATATAATTTTGCAAAAAGCAGTTTAACTCATTTTTAAAAGATTCTGCAACAGCTAAAACTGTAGAGTCACATTCTGTGCTCTCAGTTACAAACCTGTGAATTACACAAAGATCAAATGGGACAAGAGATCTGCAGACACAGTGGTATTCAACCACAAGTGCCCATGGAGCCATGTCATCTGGCCTGCAAGGCTCCTCACAAGCCCAGAAATTTGGTGACAGGAAAGTGGTGGCAGTAACAACTGCCACTCTCCAGTGCACAGGGTCCAGCCAGCAAGTGGCTGGATCCAGCAGAGAGGGTCAGGCCAGCACACAGTCCAATCCAGTGCATGGAGTCAGGCCAGCATGTGCAGTTTCACCCATGGAACAACCTTATGCACTGACCCTGCAGGTGATCTGGCCCACAAACTAATCCCTGCATACTGATCCAGCCCATGGGTCCAAAAGGTTGGGCTCCATTGTGTAAACATGTCACAAGAACAGAATTTGACCTCTGTAGTTTCTCTCTCATGTGGAAGGCATAGTAAATTAACAATATTAAAAACTTCTTACCAAGGTACTCAACACCAAGTCTTCTGCATGATTCCAAGCAGGCTTGTTTTGTGTTTTCATAGCCATAGTCACTATGCCAGAGTTTGGTAGTTATCCAGAGATCTTCCCGTTTCACACCACTTTCTTTGATGGCATTCTGAAGAAGGGATTCACAGCCATATCTTTTTGCTGTATCAATATGACGAATGCCACATTTTTGTAGTGCATATACCACAGCTTCATGGGAATAGCCCCCAACATGGGATGTACCTAAGTGGAAGATCACAGAAGTTAACTGTCATTTCTTAATGCTGTATGATGTCTTAATGTCATTTATAAATGATACATTTTACAAAATTTTGTTAATATTTTTGGTTTTCAATTTTTGTTTGTGGTCATAATAACAATCTATATTCTGTCCTTGCATCATACAGAAAAGAAACAGAAAATCAGGGAATGTGAACTCGTAAAAATTCAGATGCTAAGAAAA